ACGTTATTTTTGCTCACACAAACGCTGCTAAAGTAGCTGGTGATTATGTAACAACGTTTTTGTCAGTTTTGAGAATGTTTTTGACGATGAGCTTTTAACTGAAGTTGGTAAATTATTCCATAAGTGAACCGCCACATAGGCAAACGATTGTCGGAAGGAACGCGTTCTATGCCTAGGTACGATAAAATTGAGATTATTTCTACTTCTCTGGGCACTAGGCAAAGGCAAAAATCTTTCTCTTAAATAGGGCGGTTGACCTGTTTTTATAACCCTATAGATAAAAGAATACATGTGATATTTTCTGCGATTCGTCATGTTTAATATGTTGTAGTTATTCAGATAAGGAGTGATATGGTTCCGATATGGAATTCCAAATGCAAATCTCATGCAACTATTTTGAACTTTTTGTATGCATTTTTTGGTTCGCGACGATAGCGAATCACCATAGACGACATCTCCATAGTCAAAAAGTGATAAAATTAAGGTATTACACAAATAATATTTTTGTTTGGCTGATAAATGTTTTTTTAATTTGTTTATATTTTTTAGTCGCATGTATGACTGCCGAAGCCAAGCGAGCTATCAAATATAATGCCTAGATTTTTTGTCTCCTGAACTATGGGGATTCTGTCATTGTTAATAGAAATTACTAAATTTTGTTCAAAATGTTCTCTTTCAGTACTGTTTTTATTCATAACCATTACTTGCGATTTTGAGGGGTTTAGTTTAAGATTGTGATGCTTTGCAAATGTGTCAATTCTTTGGAGATCTGAATTTAGTTGTTATTGTGCAATATGGATTGTGGTTTTATTGACAGGGAGATATATTTGTGAGTCATCTGCATATTGTTTTATCTTTGCGAATTTTACCGATTTGACCATGTCAGATATGTAGATTGAAAATAGCAAAGGAGATAAAATTGAACCTTGAGGAACTCCTCTTTTTATAGGTTTAAAATCGGTTTTGTAAATAGCAGAATCATTTGCTAACATAACACAGTTTGAACGGTTGCTTAAGTATGTTTTTATTAGATTTACGGAGTTCTGCGAAAACCCCTGGTAATGTAACTTAGCTAGTAACATTTCATGATTCAGAGTGTCGAACGCTTTAGTAATGTCGAGAAGAACCATGCACGTACTATTTTTTTGTTCTTGATGATGTCTGATATCATCCAAGATATTAACTAATGATGTACTTGTGCTAAAGTTTTTTCTAAAACCGGATTGACTATCTGGTATGATATCGTTTGTGTCACAAAAAAATCTAATTTGATTATAAATATGCCTTTCTAAAATTTTGGATGTAGCGGGTAATATGCTAATAGGCCTCAAGTCTGTAAATTCTTTAGGTTCTGCTATTTTTGGTAAGGGTTTAACAATAGCTTTCTTCCATATTTCTGGAAATAATCCCCCCAAAATACATGTGTTGATTATATTCAGCAAGGCATTCGTACAAAATGGGATACATAACTTTAGGTCTCTCATAGAGAAACCATCCTCTCCAATGGCATTTGATGAGATATTAGTTACAATTTTGATTAGACTGGCCCTGTCTAACAGTTGGAAGCTAAGAGAATCGTTAATGTTTTTGTAAAAATTGATTAATCCTTGGGAAGCAGTGTCTGGTAAATTGTCGGTCTGCTGGAAGTAATTGTGTATGTCATTTACATTTTGTAAGTGTTCGGGTATAGTTGAGTGAGTTTTCTTGCATGTTATGTTGAGCTTTTTGGTAGTGTCCCAAAATTCCTTACCTTTCTTTGTTGAGAGTAAGTTAAAGAATATATTTTTTTCTCGGATAATTGCATGCTTTGTATAGTTCCTTAGTTGTTTATAATATTCAAAATGAGCCTGTGATTTTGATTTTTGAAATTTTTTATGAGCTTTATCTCTTAGTCTGATTAAAATTCTTATATTTTGAGTTATCCAGGGTACATAAGGTTTTTCGGTTATTTGTTTTGTTTTTATTGGAGCGTGTTTATTCAGAGCAGTTACTATATTTTTATTAAAGACTTCTATTTTTCGGTCGATTTGGTTTATATAGTAAATATCCTCCCACCTAAGTAGAAACCCTTCATTTAAGAAGGATTCTCTATCTATATTATTGTAGTCTCTATATTTAATAGTCTTTTGTGATTTATTTATTTTTGACTTTCGAAAGGCTGAATAAATTAAGTTATGATCTGAGAGATTTTGAGAAACTGCCAATGATTTAGAATCGATAGAGATAAGACTAGCACAGATTATATCAATGAGGCTAGCCTCTCTTGTGGCAAAATTGAATCTTGTTGGCTCACTGATCCTTTGTGATAAGTTAAAACTATGGATTATATTTTTGAGGCGATTTGTGTATGCAGAATTATTTAAAATGTTAATATTTAGATTTCCTATCAGTAATAAATAATCATATTTGACACTGACAAAACCGAGAAAATTTTCTAAGGAGTCTAAAAAATAAGTGACACTCTCAGAAGGCGAACGATAACTATTATGTCATATAACATAAAATACATAATATCTCAGTTTCGAAATTTGTCGCGATTACAATACCACCTCGTTCAGTGACATAGGAAGTAAAAATTGTATTTTTTCCAGCTTTATTTTTTAATTGATCCTAGATCCTTATTTTAGGACCTTAAAATAAATTTCATTCATATTTTATATGCTATGAATATATCCCTTCAAGGTTTTCCTTCAACGTGGAAGCGGTCTGTTCAGCAAATATTACCATATTATTTTATAGAGAAAATAAATTACGATAAATTATGGATATTTTACGAGGTAATTTACCAGCAACATTACCGATTTACAACCCTACTGGCAACCTATAACGTGAAACAATCTTACCGCATGGCCTTGAGGCCTACGCCCCTGCATCGCTGTTTCCAAACATAACCCATAAAAGCAAATAACTCGTAAAAACAGTCACGTACGATATTCGTTCAATCTCATCAAATTCCTCCGTTTCCTCTTATAAAACATCACTCGCAGCAGATAATCGTGTTCAGCGGAATGCCGATCACGCTTTAGGGATGAAATTGACAGTGTATGGAATAGTTCGATACCCTGGAGGCTACTAGCGAAAGTCCAGCGTTGTTATATTTCCTGTTAATTTCGAGGGTACGTTTGTGGCAGTTACGCAATAATAGGGTCTTTGTTCTGTGTGTTTGTGAGCGGTTAACAAAATTGCTCTAGTCTTGATTCGATGTTATTGAAGGAAATTACTACCGGACATCTAGTCGTATTTGCTCTGCATTATCTGAAACTACCATTATTGCCAAGTTTAGATAGTAGCTTAGGCACCTAACACACCGTAGTGAAGCAGCACTTGCAGTTCACGTCACTTATTATTGATTCGTTCACTATAATGTATTGATAGTTGAAGAGTTTGAGCAGTGCTGCAATTTTCATTATTCCTAGATTTTACAGGTAAACCTTTATACCTATACATTTCCTAAAATGGCGAGATTCGGAGGTTCGTCCCTCTTATGGCTTCTCGGATGATCTTGTATCCTTGTTTAATTCTTGTCGTTTCAATAGGAGACAATATGTTGAATATGAAGGATAGCGGTCTCCGCTCATAAGACCTACTTCAGGAATCCCACAAAGCTCAAATCTAGGACCTTCACTCTTTCTGTTGTCCATAAACTATCTAACTCTTGACTTGCATTGTTCAAAGTTATTGAATGCAGATGACTTGAAACTATATTACTCAGTAAAACCAATTTTGCCGTTAAAAAGTCGTGTCATTTGATACACCACAAACTTCAAGTTTAATAGTCATGGTAATAGTAGTGTTAGCAAAGTTCTGATTCCATATCCAACTTATTATTTCCGATATTAACTTCAAAGTAGGTAACCATTTTCATTTATTTTCCATACTTTACTTTTTCCAAGTTTTTGGCAGGTCACCGCATAGATAGACCGCTGTGATTCGATTCAATTTTGACACTTTTTAATGATCATCCGTTAGAACTTTGCATTATGCAATTTGGCGAGGAAATCATCTTCTATAGCTTCCTGAGCTTTTTTCCATGATACCGCCACGCATAGGCCAGCCAGTCGAACCCGCTAAACTTTCGCTGCCCGTTCTAACTCTTTTGGTTGTTTATTTAACTCATTGATTCCCAAAGTGGTCTATATCGACCCCTAGGGGTCTACGTCAGCGAAAAAAAATTTGGGGGTCCATGAAATGAATATGACTGATAGTACCTATTTACTTACATCATACTATCTTATAATATCAAAACATATACATTGTTTATAAAAGTACCTATGAAGTAAAAAAAATATTATATATGTTTATAAAATTGTGTAAGTTGTAGGATGTTGTTATTCGCTTTGTGGTCGCAATACATTTTGAACTTGTACAAACCTGAGAGTCGCAGTCTCAGAGCTTCGCTACCTTGCACTGACTTGTTCAATTCGTCACTCTATAAATACGAATGAGGGACAAATACGTTTATTCGTTTCCTGAATCTTGAAAAGGAAAGTGCTAAGAAAATATTTAAAAAAATATAAACAGATAGTATATCACACAAATTATAGTGAGTCAGTGTTATTTTGTTTGAGAGTGCTGGAGAAAAGTAAGTATATTATTTTTTATTGAATTTTAGTTTTGTACTCGTAGTTAGCAAAGATAGATAAATTACGCCAATCGTGACTTGAGTTATTAGTAGTTAAATATTCAATCATGCAAAATTACACGAGTACTCCTCAATAGTTTCTTTTTGAAAGTTTTAGCAATCGGTAATATAATTACAGTGCAATCTCCGTAATTCGAGCTAATTGTTGCAAGAAGATGTTCGAATTATGGAATGTTTTCGGAAAAATCAAAAAATATTTTTAATATACAGCTGCTGGATTTTCTGTCTTATTTAAATAATTTAATTTTGCCCACAGATGACTGATGCCATGTCCGAATCTAAAAAGAAATGTAGACAGTACAGTGTTGATTATTTGAAATTTGGCTTCATTCTATCATTGCCGGACAAACAATCGCCTATGTGCCTTTTATGCAACAAAGTTTTGGGCAATGACGCTATAAAACCATCTAAACTGCAAGATCATCTGAGAAGATGCCACCCTGATAAAACAGAGAAAGATTTGAAATACTTTCAAACACTCAAAGATAAATTTCAGAAGAGACCTACACTGGACAGAATGTTCGCTTCGACGTCACAAAGAAATGATGATGGTTTGCGGGCGTCATACAATATCTCGTTACTTATAGCAAAATCCGGAAAACCGCATACTATCGGAGAGAAGTTAATTTTGCCAGCCGTTGAAGAGGTTTTAAAAACTGTTTTACACAAACCTGCATCTGATATCATTAAAAGAATTCCCTTAATCAACAATACTGTTGAAAGACGTATTGATGAAATGAGTTCTGATATTGAAAGCTTCTTATGTAATTATTTGCAAACGACCCATTTCTCTATACACCTGGACGAGTCAACTTTCCCTGATAATGCAGCATTATGATTGGCATATGTTCGTTTTATTATGAGTCAAGAAATCTACGAAGAACTGCTCTTCGCAAGAACTTTGATAACCGACACTAAAGGTGAATCAGTATTTCATGTTTTGAAGGATTACTTCATTGAAAAAGCAATTCCTTTATCAAATATAATATCAGTAGCTACAGATGGAGCACCTGCCATGGTTGGACGTTATCGTGGATTTATAAGCTATTTAAAACAAAATGTGTCAGGCGTGTTAGCAATACATTGCGTCATCCATCGACAACATTTAGTTGCTAAAAATTTGAGTGTCAGATTGCATGAATCACTTCATTTAGTCATTGATGCAGTAAACCGAATCCGAAGCAACGCGTTGAATACGCGGTTATTTGCGCAGTTGTGTGAAGAAAATGACGAACACTTTCAAAGGCTATGTTTGACAAGATTTTTTTGCACTTTTTGAGACTATTTTAGAATTTCTGGATACTAAAGATAAAATTTTAAAAGAAAATTTAATGAAGAGGAAAACAGACATCGCCTATTTAACAGATTTGTTTACAAAATTTAATATGGTTAATTTGCAATTACAAGGCTACAGTTTAAATTTGATTAAAACAAAGTCCATCTTATCAGCGTTTCTTGCCAGAGTTAAACTAATGAAGCAAAATATTGGACGGGGCGAATTTTCTCAGTTCCCCAATTTGTCACAGACGACGTTTCAACTTACGTTCAACATTTAAATGCCCTCTATTCACATTTTGAATCTAGGTTTGAGGATATTTTGACTATGGTAATTCCACCGTGGATAATTAATCCATATGGTGACATAGAAGAAACGAATGTCATAATACAAGAGGAACAGACTGAACTAAGTACAAACGAAGAACTTAAGGTTCAGTTTAAAAACGGATATCAGCAATTCTGGCTGCAAAACAACATACCCGTTACTTATCCCGTATTATGGAATATAACGAAAAAAAGAAATAGACTGGACATCATTAGCCGAGGAGATTTAAGATTAACCCTTACAAAATTGACGCCAAATGTTGATAATTTATTATTAAAGCATCAGGTTCATCCTTCTCACTAAAAATATTGACTTATTGCTCATGTTATTTTATTTATAGTTTATTTTATGTTTAAAGCTGGCTGACCAATAAATGCCCGCATTGGGAATAAGTGCCCGCATTTATTTTTTTAAAGAACCCCCCTTTATAGAAAATATATTTTTTTTAAAATTACACACTAAAATTCGTTAATTTTTTGCCTATTTTTAGATAACTTAAACGTATAAGAAGCGGAATTTAATCAAACTAACAGTGAAATTATAGTAGAACAAACGTTTATGTTATAATTAATAAACGAACTCGCTTATTGTACTATTTTAAGTAAAAAAAAATTTTTTATTTTATCCCTCTTATTTTTTTCAATGCGGGCACTTATTCCCAATGCGAGCACTTATTGGTCAGACACCTGTTTATTTAATGTTACGTATATTTTACAAAACAGATACAAAATTTTATTTTGAGTAGTTTTAATTTAAATTCCATTAATACATGTATAAATTAACATGTGTTTTTACTTTAAGTTTTTAACACTAAACTTCACTACAGTTAGAAATTTACAGGAAATCAATATCAGGTAAGTAGGGGGTCTACCCAACACGGAAAAACATGGCAAGGGGTCTACGGCACAAAAAAGTTTGGGGAACTCTGGTTTAACTCTTGTCTTTCCAATAAGAGACAATACGAAGGATGCCGTTCACCGCTCATTAGGCCTGCTTCAGTAATTCCACAAGGCTTAAATATAGGAGCTTTACTCTTTCTGTTATACATAAACGATCTAACTCTTGACTTGCTTTGTTCGAAATTATTGTATGCAGATGACTTGAAACTATATGACTTTCAGCCAGATAGAATTTTAAATTTTTGAATATTGCCTTGGAAACGTTAGCCTTAAGCATCAAGTAGATGATTTAGGAATTATTTCCAATAAAAAAATGTTTTTTTCTGTCAATACAGATACCACTGTTTCTGTATCTCCTATCAAACATCACAATATCAACTTATTTCAAGGATCCGACGTCATATTGGATACGCCATATTAAATTTCTGTTTTTTGACAGCAGATTTGAAATCAGCGACCTTAAAAACTTCTCTGTAACAAATTCCGTGAGGATGCTCCAGAAGTTGTGTTTTTGCCAGGTTTTTGAGTGTTCTAGACCACTGTGCGATGGGGATGACAATCTTGCTCACTTCTTCCGCTATGTCATGGATCTTTGCTCCTCACAGCTAGTCCTTCATAATGCTGTCGTGCTTTGAGCGTGCCAGATGGACCCGCCAGTCTTCTTCCTCCCAACCCAGCTCTGGCCTTCGTGCGGCCTGTACGACCGCTCCTTTGTTCCTAGGGGGTGAAGATTGTCGAACAATTTGCCTGAGGAGGTTTTTCCCAGTTTTTCCAACCTTAGGCAGTTCAAACACCGCATTAACAAGGCGTCTTTATGTTCCTTATAACTGTCGCGGTACCCTGGTATTTAGGTTTCTTCCTACGTGGCTGCTTTCAGTATAACAAAAGATGTTATGGAGAAAGATCGAACAGAAGAAGAGCAGTAAGTGATGTGTTCGTATGCAATGAGGAATTCAAAACTATGTATATTATTTAAGCATATTCTGTACCATTGTTGCTTGATGATCTTACATTTTACTGGGGTTCCATTAAAAATGTGACCTAGATACCTAACTGCCCCAAGCTCTTTAAATATAACACCTTAAACCAGAGTTACCAGGTGCTCAGTCACGTTGATTGTCATGTTGTACTGCGCAAGTCAGCAAACAATCTGGCGTAATAAACGTTAGGAATCATCAGGTATTGCCAGATTCCCGAATACCGGGCACCATAGTAACCGTTATAGTTGTCCTTCAAAGTTGTCAAATCGCCCCTATGGCGCAAATCCGCCACACCAAAACTGTGCTATAAACAAACCCTGTTTATCACTACTATTTGATAGCCATATGGTAGTTGTAGCCCTATCTAGCGGACCATGATTTCTCTCAATACTGTTGTATCTCTACTGGCAACAAGAATAGGGATTACAAAATCATTTATACAACAATATACAAACATGAAAAATATGATTTGAACCATGAAACATTAATACAATTTTTTGAACTTTTTTCATTTTTGGAATACTCTTATGTGGAATCCGCAGCTATTTTTCCCGAAATTTGGGTAGACTTAGATTTCTTAGAAATATGACATATTGGTATCGGCAACTCTGCGAATGGGAGAAACAAATCGCATTTGTTGAGCGCATCCGTCTAAGCGGTAGGCGCCAGCGCCCGTTCTGCCATCTCTCTCTTTTATCACTCTTCTATTTTACCCCGTTGTCCGTCACACTCCGACGCTGCCAGATAAGATCCTACAATCGAGTGTCTTTCACGCACCTACATACTTTTGTATATTTCCATCTCTCTTCCTCATCATAATGTATAATAATGGTTTTTCCCATACTGTATAGCAATTCTGCTACCTGGATGTTTTGCCTCTGCTTTTGCGACTACCCCAGCTTAAAAAAAATACTACTAGGGTAATCTGATTTGTAGTTTAACCGTTGTATTGGCCAGCAGGGTCTGTTGACCTAAACTCTATTGCTTTTTATTTATTGTTGGATTCGTAGTTGGATATGCCAGCAAACGTAACTTTCCCAGGCCTGCAGTTAATGTAATTGCATATATAGATTATCCAGACACATGCATATATGATTACTGTACTTCATGTCATTATACACTCCATCAAAAGAAAGACCTGACGGTGGCAGTAGAACAGCCAGTGCTCATAATTACGTGGTTTTAAAAGTTACTGCAGTCTGTATTTTTTGTCTCAATTATATATATTTAAATGTAAAAACGTCATCATCTGTCGAACCGTTTTCAAATAGGTCGTGTCTACAGGATGTTCCATATATGTGAGCAATCTCGTGCGTTCATTGAAACCCAAGATGATGTTTCTATAAAGCAAACTCCTATAAGCCTCCGTATTCCGATGTTTCAAACAACTTTGGAGCGGTATGGCGTATTATTACGGAGATTTTAATAAATAGTTGCGATTTATATCCTCACAAGACAATCTCAGAAAGTATTTATGCCTCTTAATCTTGGATAGAGATGGCCGATAACGTTATTTTTGAATAACCTTGATATCTGATATCGTCACTTTCTGATATCAGTGACTTAAAACCGGGACGTGATCACGACTTTCGAATAACGATGATTTTATGGGTATACTGATACGGTGAGTAATATACCACGATTAGCGCAGTTGCTAGCATGCTGTACGTTGTGGTTAGTGCAATGCTCTAGACGATATACTTTATCCCTATCTTTAATCATTTTTTATCCTATATCATCTTTCAAATTACATCTATCGTTTATCCTTTACATTTGACCTTTCATCTTTTTTTGTCTTTTATTTCTCTTCTATAAGAAAAAATAAATTTAATGCTGGAAGACGAAAGACGAAAAGTCATATTAAGAAGAATATAGAAGTTATTTCCACATTTCAAATACTAGATCACTTGTATATGTTCATATGCTTTTATTTTTTATATTCCGCTGTTGTTAAATTATTGATTTAGTTTCATTGTTGGTATCTTTCCTGTAGCTGGATGTAACCTGTTGGGAATTATAAATAAACAGTCGTGATTCGTGATTTAGGAATATCAGCTACTAAATCGCAGTTCGTGAAATATGTGCCATCCCTACTGCAGGCACTCCGGCATTAGCTGCAAAGCCCTAGCACTGGTGCTGGTGCGTGCTCACAGCCAATACTGGTTATTAGCTGGTTGTCACGAACCGTATGCGGTATGAAGTCCATCGTGTTTACCCGAGGATTTCGATACGATACCATCGATTCCAGTTTTTCCTCTTATTTTCCCCACCTCCTAGATGATGAACAATAATATCCCCGGCATTAGGAGGCGGAGGTTCTTAGAGCAGTGTTGATATTTGATTTTGCCGCGTTTAC